TTCATGTTTTTTCTAATAATAATAATAATATTAACGAAGCATTGTCGAATAACGAGTATGTTTCAAAAATATGTACAAAATTGAAAATTTAAAAATTCTTTCTGATGTGTTAATGCTCCACAACTTGGACTATTCATAAATCACTATTTATTACTATTGCTATTGCCTAAGTGAAGAAAATTGCTAATTTTAAAAGTGACTGAAACTCAAATTTTATTGATTAAGTTAATAATCATATCATAAGAAATGTATGAAACTTCATTCAAAATTTCACTTATACCTGTTATTAACTTCCCGTAGGGTAAGTTATTGTAATGGGCCGAAAATCGGAATTGAAAATTTTTACATTTCTCGACGTTTTGAAGGTTTCTGAACATTTTGGCACACCTCAGAAAAAATGGATGTGTGTGTGTGTGTGTGTGTGTGTATGTGTGTGTGTGTGTGTATGTATGTGTGGATACAAATTTCCAGTCTCGTTTTAGGGCGCACGGATCAACCGATTTGAATGGTTCAAAAAACATTCGATTCCTATTGATAGGGAAAAGAGCTGATTAGTTTTTGGCAAAGGCAGGTCCAGCCGTTTCGGAGATACGGAGCAAAGAGCGCGGAAAATAGAAATCGAATTTTTGAGAGAACGGAGTATCCGATTTGAATGATCTAAAAAACATTCAATTAGTAATGATTGGGAGAAGTGTTTATTAGTTTTTGGCAAAGGCAGGCCCAGCCATTTCGAAGATACGGAGCCAAATATGTAAAAAATGGCAGTTTTTGAGAGAACTAAGCGTCCGATTTGAATGATTCGAAAAACTTTTTGCTTGTCTTAACAAAATAATTGATTTTGGAAAAAAAAATTTTTGTTCAATTTTTTTTTTTTTTTTTTTTTTTTTTTAGTTTTTTGTTGAAACAAATAATTGCAACTTTGCAATTCAGTTTATATAATTCTTATAAATATTAGGCAATGTTACAATATTTATAATAATCTATTTGAAAACATTCAGTATTCCTCGAACATTTCGTTACGGTACGGGAAGTTCCAGCAATTTGCCTTAAGGCACGATGCCACTCACCCCACTAGTTTATTTTTTAATTTAATATTTTACACTTAATTTGTAATCTAAATTAGGTACATGGTATCGTGGATTAAGGCAAATTGCTGAAACTTTCTACCTGTTTATCTGCCCACATATCTACATATTCGTCTTTCTACTAGTTTACTAGTATACCAGTTTATCTGTCCACTAGTTGACACCAGTTTGTCTGTCCACCAGTTAATCTGTCCATCAGCCTGTACCAGTTTTCCTGATCACCAATTCACCTGTATTTTTGTTCAACTGTCTACATATCAATGTACCAGTTCACCAACTTTTATAATTTTTTTTTATAATTCAAATCGGTTGATGCGTGCGCGCGAAATCATGTAAAAATTGTATCCGTACACACACACATCATTTTTTAAGGTATACCAAAATGTTCCGAAATTCCTGAAAAGATATGCAAAAATTTTCATTTTCATTTTTTGTGTGATTACTATAACTTAACCTTCGGGAAAATTTTATTAATATTTTATTCATTAACTTTAAGCTATAATAAATAAATTCGAAACAACTTCTATGCGAGCATCTTGGAAGCATTTTATTTAATAATAATTAATTATGATTTCTGCATGACTTGTAATCTTTAAGAGTTAATAATCTTTGGAAGTTATTCCTCGTGGCAATTTCATAAGCCGTTGATATTTATATTGTTTTCTGGATAAGAAATTAATTAAATTCAAGTCTATTCTTTGCAGTCTCGTATTTAGTTTTGTACTACGGTTTTGTGTACAGATTCAATACGAAGCAAAATAAATTATTCTTCTAAAGTTATCAGTAGTTTGTTCTTTTTGATGCGCATAGTAATATAAAAGTAATAACTAGTTTATTAAATTTAGAATTATGATGATTGTACTCTTTGTAAATAACCATTTTAGTATTTTTCTGACTTTAAATACTTTATTTATTTATATACCTACTATACTGTTTTTTAATTCATAAAAAATTACATCTTTACAAGTTAAATATTGGGCTATAATTAATAGTGTTTATTCTTACTATACTAATATGTATAATATCATATTATAATAGTATTTCATAACGAATGAATTATTATTTTTGTATATTGAGTGAATATTACTCATGCACAATTTTTATGATTTTTGCGCTGTTCTAACCTATTGAGGAAAATGTATGACTTGTAATAACTTAAATATATTTTGTATAATAATGCATATATAGTTTCTGAGGTATTTACTATAAACTTTCATCATATCTAATAATTCATTTAAGGATTTTGTCAAGGATTTGCAAAAAAAATTACTCTTGGATGTTAAATTATTTTATATTTGACTATATATTTCTGAATATTATGTTTTCACAAGAAAATCTGAAGGACTAAATTTATGTTTATTTTCGACGTTTTACGCACTTCTGAATTGTTTGACACCAACTGAGGTTATATATAATTATACACATATATTATATGTGTATAATTATATATAACTAAGGTTATATATAATTATACACATATATTATATATAATTTTAATTTACTTGTCGCTAATTTATAAAACTAAAACTATAAAATGGAATTTTACCTATGTTATTTTGCATTGAAAATTGGATTGAAGGGCGGACTACATTAAAGTTAATATTAAGAGCTAAAACTTTCAGAGATTTGTTTTTATTACCTTGGAAGCATTTGAGCCTCTGGCAGCAAGGAAATTTGTAAACATCCATCCCTAGTGTATATGTATAGGTGGGCTAAAATTTGATCTTTCGTCGATGTTTTCTGAAAAAGATATTCACCAAAAAATTCAAAAACTATTTGATGAAACTCGATAAAGACTCGCTTGCACAAGCAATGCGACACGATCGGACCAGCCGTTTCCTTACCAGAGTTAGCAGAAAAATGCAAAGTGTTCTGCCCTCGTTTTCGCAAAAAAATCCTGAATCGATTTTAAAAATTCTGAAATTAAGAAATGCCCTTTAAGAAAATATAACAGATCTCTTAAAAATGGTTTAATTGTAAAAGTTCATAAAAGTTAAGAATAATGGGTCCTGTCAAGATTTTATCGTCGCATTTATAAATGTTTTCAAATCTCAAATCTTATTGATTAAGATAATTATTTACACACATCAGGAAAACTTTGCATCTTGAATTATTGCAAAATGCCACTCATACCTGGTTTGGTTAAAATGGAATGTAAATGATAAACAAAAAACATAATATACAATTTGGTTTAATTTAATAGTAAAGAAAGACATCTCTTGTTATTACATGGCGTTTACCTTCATCAACTCGCGCCCATTTTGACACTTCTGCCCTGCTGAAATATTTTAATTAATTTTGATTTCAGTTTTAACTTATTGTAAATTGTGTTATGTTCAGTGAAGCTATGCTATGATAAAATTTAATTTGAATTCTTTGGTACTTTTAATTCAAATTGGTTAGATTTTATTGAAATTTTTATTGATATTGTATCAAAGTGATATGAGTAGCATTCTAGTTTTAGTTTATAATGGAGAATTGGTACTAGTGCTTTCGACAAAACTTTAGTTTCATACTTGTTTATCTTTGGTTAGTTTATTATATTCGAGTGATATTAAAATATTCATATGTAGTTTGAAATACGAGTTTGGAATTTGTACTTCATTTTTAACAAAAATTAGTTGAAAGTTGTCAAATTTTAAGTCAAGCTTCATAGATTTTAATTAACAATCACTCACTTTTTTAGTGTTTTGTACATTGTACCAATGATATATGCTTTAAATTTTTTTAGTTGTTAATTTGTATGTTATTTTTAACTTCCCGTAGGGTAAGTTATTGTAAGGGGCCGAAAATCGGAATTGAAAATTATTACATTTCTCGACGTTTTGAAGGTTTCTGAACGTTTTGGCATACCTCAGAAAAAATGGATGTGTGTGTGTGTGTATGTGTGTGTGTGTATGTATGTGTGGATACAAATTTCCAGTCACGTTTTAGGGCGCACGGATCAACCGATTTGAATGGTTCAAAAACATCCGATTCCTATTGATAGGGAAAAGAGCTGATTAGTTTTTGGCAAAGGCAGGTCCAGCCGTTTCGGAGATACGGAGCAAAGAGTGCAGAAAATAGAAATCGTATTTTTGAGAGAACGGAGTATCCGATTTGAATGATCTAAAAAACATTCAATTAGTAATGATTGGGAGAAAAGTTTATTAGTTTTTCGCAAAGGCAGGCCCAGCCATTTTGAAGATACGGAGCTAAATATGTAAAAAATGGCAGTTTTTGAGAGAACTAAGCGTCCGATTTCAATGATTCAAAGAACTTTCTGCTTGTCAATCGACTTTGGAATTTTTTTTTTTTTTTTTTTTTTTTTTTTTTTTTTTTTTTTTTTTTTTTTTGTATATCGCAATTATTTATTTTTAATTCTGACTATAGTTCTAATATACTTTACAAATAATTTCAACTCTGCAATTCAGTTTATATAATATTTATAAATATTAGACAATGATACAATATTTATAATAATCTATCTGAAATCATTCAGTAATCCTCGAACATTTCGAAGAGGTACGGGAAGTTCCAGCAATTTGCCTTAAGGCACGATGCCACCCACCCCACTAGTTTTATATTTTTTTAGAGGGCTAAGAATTTCAAATTTTGTGTACCTAACGTTATTTGTCTAATCCAAGTATCTTAACACATTTAGAATACATTCAAATTATAGATATTACTCTCTTTAAAAAGTGATTATTTACTAAACTAAATAATACATTTTTTAAACATATGATGTAGCATGCAAATTTTAAATACACATTTATGCCTATTTATAGAATAAAAATTATTTTATACTTATTCAATTCTATTTTTAGATACTTATCGACTCCAATAATTTATAATTGTTATTAACACAAAAGATTAAAAAAATTGTTTAAATTGTTATCTAATATTGTGTATTAATTAATAATTATTTATTCTTAGGGTTTCAGTGGCGATGGAACGACTGAGATAGACATTGATGACGATGACTTTGTAAGTTTGCACAGAATTTATTCTGCTTACATAATCATCTAATGCCACTAAAATCACTACTATATTATACTAATTATCCTAATCATTGACATTTCAGAGTATATCTTCATAGATTGCATATCTACCAGTTTCATCTTTTAACAGTGATTAGTATTAACATATATTATGCCAAAACTAAATATTGTTATTTATACTGTATTATATATTAGTGGTAGTTTTAACATGCATAGATTGAATAATTCATTAATCAACTACTATAATTAACCTTTTGCATTAATACGATTTGCTTGCTTTTTCAGCTAATTTGGATTTTCAAATCAATCATATACCTTCATAATCAGGTTCTTTATTATGTAATATATTACTCGTTACTGCTATAGAGGGTAAATTATATCATAGAATAGAATTAATTATATAAAATTGTTCTTACTGTACAATATACTGATATTTGCTTGAACTTTTGATTTGAAATGACATTAGAGATAAAAAATTAATCGCCAAATTAAAATTACAAATTCGCGTAAATGTGATAAGAAGTTTCGATTCGAGGTAAAATTCGTTTTCAAGAAAATTGTTGTTTACAATTCTTCGAAAAACATTTTTTTAATGTGATACCTTCAGAAAGGATTGGGTAAAAATACTAGTAATATTATAAATGTGATATACTTTTTCACTTTTCTTGACGTTATGATTTTTTTTTTAACAAAATCCTTTTGATTTCACGAAGAAGTTTAATGGTTATAGTTACGCAACAATATTTTATTTAGGCTGTAGCGATGCACGTGATTTTAAGGATTCTAAAATTTGAATTATAATTCCTAATTTTTAATTTACTTTATACAATTGTAGCATGAATAATATTTTCTCATGGATCTCCTATTACTGGAATTATCAAAGTACAATTAAAATTTCGGTATCTGCTTCCGCATGAACTCACTTTAACGAAAACAAAATAGTTGTTTGAAGGTTTCTCGGGATATATTGTGAAGCCTCAAGAAAAGTTATTCAACATTTTTTATTTAAGAGAGTGAAAAGTGAGATAATTTAAAACTTCATCGAAGCTTTAAATAATCATTAAATTACAAAAAAGTTTTAACTTTCATTTTCATCAATACAATTTTTTGAATTATTTCCAATCATAAAATATATTAATTAATTAAATCGATATTTCTTGAAAATTCTATTGTCCTGTCATCATTACAAATAGCTATTTTACTTTCAAGATATATTGATGTCCACAAAAGAAATATTTGTCTGTACTAGGTGTGCGGCATATTATATATATTGTAATATTATTAATGACATGTTATGCATCATCATATATATGTTTTCCAATGTAATTTCGATAGCTAAACACGAATCTGAAGTTAAAATATGGTGTCAAATGGCAAAGAATTGAAAAACTTGAAGAAAAATAAAAAAAAACGATAAAATTTCGGAACTCAAAATTCTTTTGCATGATAATTAGAATCTCATAATTTCTGACGTTTTCTAGCCCTTTCTACATTTGATTACTATTGGGATTTAATTTATTAATTTTTTTGTATAATTAAGTTGCAATTTATAAACATATTCAATTCCGATTGTCCCTGAGTATTCTGCAACCACGCTTACAATTGAATTTTCGAAAATATGTTTTTGAATTACTGCTGTAATCGAGCCAGAAAATAATAGAAATTGTAGGATTTTAATTATCGTATAGAAGAATTATCAGATCGGAGATTTTGCCGTTTTTTTTTAAATTTTTTATTTCAATTTTTTGCCATTTGCCCCCCAATTTTAGATTCGACTTTTTTATTCGAATTTTTTGACTTTAGATTCGTGTTTAGCAGTAAAAACTACATTGGAAAACATATGTTGCACCACCAATACAGGCAACTTTTTTGTGGACCTGTGTTATTAATTAGACAAAGAATCTAAACGTAATGCAGCAAATGTAGTGTTTACATGATGTTTTTTCTATAGAAAAAAGATCAATTGTCTAAGTTAGAGGTGCAAAAGTATTTTTAAGTGCAAAAGATTTTTAGTTAAGCAGTATACCAGCCCCATTCTAATACCAATATTTGTGTAAGTCGATAAACAAATCGATACCAACCAATACAGCGAAGGGATTGTATTATTTAATTAAGTTGTGCAGCCATGTCACGGACTACATCGTCAATTAGGTTGCGAATCAGTGCAGAACTTTCGAATGAGTAAATCTAATAAGAAACATTTATATTTGTTTTAGTTATTTTATTAATTATAAAATACTATGTTTAAATTGCAATAGCATGATATGTTTAGAAAACCCATTGCATATTAATTACTTATATTTAAGTAATATTACAAAATATTAAAGACAGAATATCTGAACAATAATCGTTAAAAATATATACAAAAATTTAAATTGTTAAATATTGCAATTTATTACGTATGCAGATTTATTAATAATATTTATTTAATTATTCAAATTGTATTTGTTAGGCTTGATTTCTGCAATATTTTTTTTTTGTTTGATGATGGTATACATTTGGCGTGAAAACAAATTTTCATTTACTAATTCCTTTTTTTTTTTATCGACATGGCTGCTAATATTTTCAAAGAATATGGTTAAAAATTGTTCAAAAAATTAAATTCATGTTAAAGTCATGATTATAAAGTATGCTAAACCGAATTTCGAACCCTGATTACTTCAACTAAAACTAAAACAGTACATATGGTGCCATATTCAATATACAAGTATACGAACTTAATTATACTCAACAATATCGTTTCAAACATTTAATTTTTTTGCTGTTTGCTATTATTTTTGAATTAATTCAATATTCGGGTTATTCTATAGTGTGTAGCCTGTAGTGTGTATATATGTGATTGTAAAATTGCATTTGCCAGTATCGATTTTATCAATACTAATCACGTTGCATAAATCTCTACATTGAATTATGTTAGTCTGACAAGCATTTTACAATTTTTACATCTAATTATTTTCAATTTTGATTAATTCAAGTGTTGAGTAATATTTTATATCACTTGATCGAGAGTTTTTACCAAAAGTAACAATTTATAATATGAACATATCATTCCGGAAAATATCATTTATTAACTTCCCGTAGGGTAAGTTATAGTAATCGCAAAAAAATCGAAAATGAAAATGTTTATATATCTTAACCTTTTAGACTTTTCTGAATATTTTGGCATACATAAGAAAAAATGGATGTATGTGTGTGTGTGCGCGCGGATACAAATTTTCGTCGACGATTTCGGGAGCACGGTTCACCCGATTTCAATTATTCAAAAAACATTCGATTGCTTTTGACACGGAGACGTGCTGATTAGTTTTTGGCCATGCGCCCGCCTAGTTAATAAATTTATTGAATGCCTAAATACTTAATATTTGATTTGATTATTGATCATACTTCTTAAAATCTTTTTACCATTACCTTCTGCAATCCGGTCAAATAGTCGCGGTTCTGTCCCGAAGTGGTAGGTCGTGAGTCGTGAGCCCATAAATCGCAACAACAATGCGTTCTCTGACACAGAAGCTATGCGCAACCACTGCGTATAGCCGACAACAAGAACAAGCTTTAAATTATATGCCTTTGCTCTTTAATTTATTTTATATAAGTTTTCTGTGGGATAAAAATGTCAGAATCCGAGCGGTACTTGGGAATCAGAATGGGTCTGCTGAAAACACTGCTTTATTAAAATAGTACTTGATAAATGGCAAAGTACAATTAATACTTAGCTTTAGGCAGATGATTTTTAGATATAATTGAAACTAGTGGTGTATGACATCGTTCCTTAAGGCAATTTGTTGGAACTTTCCAGACCAGAATTAAATATACGAGCAAAAAATCAATAATCAATAAATATTGATCAATAATTAAAAACAATTGTTTTAGACATTTTCAAATAGGTAATTATAAATACTATATTGTTTACTGTTCATATAATATACATTGATGATCTTATGAAATAAAACATTTAAGAATATTTACATTAACAAGAAATGCCGAATGAATTCATCTGAGGATATATTTCTTACGATTGCCATAACACATATGAAATATTTACATTTTTAAACTGAATTGAAATTTCAAATTTATATTTGAAGTATAAAACTTTGTATATTTTTGAAAATTTTGGAGTTAAAATATTAAAAACTTTGTACGGAACCCAAAAAAATTGTAACAAAATTAGTACTCATGTTTAAAATCTCTATAAAATATCTGATAATTTGATGTGCATATGCCTGATGATCATTGCTTCTCCTCTGTATCTGGACTGGACTTGTCTTCCTAAAAATTCAATATTGATTCTTTATTTTGTTAATACAAGTAAAATGTGTTTTAAATTATTCTAATCGGTTGATTCATGCGCTCGAAATCGTGGACAAAAAATTGTATCCAAACATACATACACGCACACACACACACATACATTCATTTTTTCTAAGGTATGCCAAAATGTTCAGAAACTCTTAAAACGAAAAGGTATTCAAAAATGTTTATTTTCGATTTTTTTGCGATTAGGGTAGAGCGGGGCTAGTTGAGCATAGGGGCAAGTTGAGCAATCGAAATATCTCGAAAACTATTCACCGTCCGTTTAGGCGTTATATGGCGGAAAGATAGAGGTTTGGGAAAAATAAACATTCCGCGATCGCTAGTGGCCGCTGGACAAATGAGTAAGGCTCACGGGCGTTTTGTTTCTTTTGAGACCAAAAAGTAAAAACGTAATTTATCACGAGTTTTCGTCTGGTTTAGTCAAATGTTATTTATTTTTAATCAGGTAAATGTTATTCTTCAATATAATTATAGTACTTCTAATGTGCACAGAGATTCTGGCTATAATTCTCACGGTTTTTTAATAAACTCACTTTTATTTTGAAATTCCGAGTTGGGGTTAGTTGAGCATAGTTGCTAAACTTGTTCTGTCACTAAGACAATTATCATTAACTTCCAGAAATTGATCATTATTTTTAAGATTTAAGCTAAGTCTATGAGTAATAAAATAAAGAA